CCCCCCCTCCCCTCCCGCCAGTATTGAGGACTACCTAGTTATGTACATTAGCTATACACTTTTCTGGGAATAAATAGGTGGTTCTTCAGGGCTTCCGCAATTGAAAGAAAATATCGGTCTTGAGCAAGTCTAGACTGCTTGCAATGCTACCGAATAGCCTTACTCTAAGATGAGAATATCATGAATGGCAGGGCTGAGTGGAAATCACCAATAATGCATGGCATCCTTACCATAGCATGCCCTGAATCGTGCGTTAAGATGTTATGAAGATGTTCAGTTCACAGTATTTAAATAGAACAATATGATACAGACTATAGTTTGTGTCATATGTTCAAAGAGAAATAGTTACTGCCATATATGTATTTGTCATTTTATAAGTTACAGTGGCAGGAATTACAATTTTTCGGAATTAGTGAAGACTAGAAAAAGCTGTTGTAATTGCCGATAGGGACTCTACAGTGTATATGGTTTTACAGAATAAATTAGATTACGCGTAGGAATCAATGCGTCATATTTTGGAAGGGAATCCTATGTCGTGTAAAGTGCAGGGACCTGAGAATTAGTTACAGCTATATTTTGACCTTAACTACGGTGTCATTTTTACCGAAAGTCGATCTAAACCCCTAAAACATGTAAAATTACTCTGAACACGGTAGTTTAGGTCCAAATATAGCTGTAACAAATTATCAGGTACCTGTGGCGTAAACCCTGAACGATTTCCTTTGCTCATTGTATCGTGCGGAGAAGGACTGCCGATTGCCGACATCGTGGACTTGTGAAGTGAACATATCAGCATAACATCATTACCAGGATTACTAGGAAGATGCTATATAATCTGCGTTATCTAAGGACTTGGGAAAGAAGGAAATTATTTGAAGATTTCGTTTATACATGTATACAGTATCACCCTCTCTGTCACCCGATAGTGTATACAAAGCATGTAACAGCACAACTATTTTGGTCACTAACATGAAACGAAAACAAACAACTATCAAGCTTAATAAACTAAAACAAATAAATAACATTGTGGAATGACTAGTTGACTTGGAAGACTCGAGCTGTCTCGTTCACAGGGTGTTGCTTAATGATGCGTTACGTCATTCTAATCATTGTGTTCAAGATCTTTCCCCCACTTACAAGTTACCTTTTCATTCTCATCCACATGCTTCGCGTTCTCCGCTCTCATCCGCGGGCGTTTCCTGCCTACCACAATATTCCCATTGTCCTGTACTTCCTCATTCTCAGTTTTCAACAAAATGATGAACACCTATTGTTACTCGTTTATATCCTCATACTCGCCTTGACATCCATCCTCTCTTTTTGTTCGTCTGCTCTACACCGCCACTTCCATTCGGAACACCTCGCCTCAGTTTCGTAGAAAATGACGAAAGGGTATTCCGAATGCGCCACTTCTTCAGCGGCTCCTCTATATCATACCATTGTCTCTATCTTTGTTTACTCCCCTTCCTCACTGCTGCTTCCGCTTTACGTCACCTCCCTAATTATTTCATAGAGCTACATTCTCCTTCCACCCCCACCCCCACCCCCCTTTATACCCTCCGCTACATCCTCATCCAATTCATTCTCACCTGTCAGAAATCGATCCCCTTGATGTCATTTGTCATCTTCCTCCCTTTTTGTTTTCTTCTTGTTTTCCTCCTCTCCAAATTCTTCTCATCCACTTCCTCTATCTTATTTCTGCTATACATCCTCCTTTCTCTCTTGTTCTTTCATCGAAACCTTCCTGTCCCTCGTCGTCTAATCTACACCCTGTGCCCTCTCTTGTGTTGTTTCGTACTCATCACTAACTCCCCCCCCCCCCCCCCCCCCCCCCTCCTCCACCCTCTCGTTCTTTCACGATCAACACACCTCCTCATCTCGTTTTCCCCCCTCGTCACCACGGTCCCAAGCGACGTCCACTCATGTAAATCCCTCTTTTCACTAGTTTTCGTCTCTTTCACATTCTGTCCTTTCCACCTTAACCTTATCTCCATTCCCTCGTTTTCTTGTTCTCTCCTGGTCTGCATCTTTCCTCTCCTTCTTGATTATTGACGCCTCCTCCACACTCACTCCTTGCCGTCTGCTGATCTTATTTAAGTTATACATACTATAACACCATTTTACATGTAACATGTCTAAGTGCGCCTACCCACACGTATGCCTCTTGTTCAAACGTTTTTTCATGCCTTTTTTTAATATGTTAATGTATTATCTTAATATGTCGTGGCATGTATCATGTGATGATTAGGTGAACGATTAAGACACACCCCGAGCCCCCAAGTCCTTAACACTGAATACAACATCACAGATATCTCAATAGCTCGATCAAAAACATAAGATAAGTCTACCGTTACAATATCTTTATATCATGCACTTGTATAATTGTTTTTAAATTCCTACAAATACCTCCTTCCTTTTTACCAGTACCAACACATACTGGTAATGAACATGTTTTCGATACGATTGTTTGAAAGGGGGACTTAAGGTCCATTTAACAAATACAGATTACATTTTCATTGACATTCCAATCTTGCTTGGGTATTTAGAGCTACGAGTAGTGAACCGAAAAAATATAAACACACAATCTATTCGGAAAAACAGGCACTACAAATCACAATTTGTCATAGCTGACGAAACATCACACCATTTGTGAACAATGAGTCACGCGTCGCCTATTGTTTCCTGACCCGAATATTCTCTGGTCCAGAAGACGCTTCTGAAGAATGGACATAGAAGATCTACTTAAACATACCAAAATAAGTTATTGATTACAGGGTTTGGATATACACGAGATATATTTGACTTGCATAAGTCACGGGGTCGTAGCTTCTAACACTACGACTTGAACACTTGCCAAAGCCACACATACATTGTGTCTGCCCATTTTAGATTGCAACTGAAACAAGCTTCACGGAATATTTTATTTCTTTGGTCGGGTGGTAGCGCAAAAGGATACGTGGTGAAAGGTGGTCGATAATTAAAGCAATATCAATTTGGTACGGTAGAAATGATAATTCATTATAATTAATGCCGGAAGAAAACATCCCGCGTTACCCCTTTCTGGCCCCTATCGCCTAGTCTACAGGCGTTATCTATTTTCTATTTGCAAGCTAAAAATAGCGAAATTCACTGCAGCATCCTTTTGCCGTACAATGTATGACGTCACGGCATGAAAGGTAACTGGGTCACAGGCGGACACATGTGTGTTTACATTACAACCTCTACACTAGTGCGGTCTTCCGACCCCATCCTCTGCTTTTCAACGAAATTTCAGAGAACGCCCCTACCTGAATTTAAGTACCGCCGCAACAAATACATTTATGAGGAAGCGGGGATTAAAAATATTATTTCAAGAATTAGTGAGCGGTAGCGCGTTATTGTGGAAGTACTGTATAATGGTCGACTATTTAACAGGAGGTCAATAGTTCAAGAGGTCTGATGACCTTAGCTGAAGACATATATCCTTATCATCACCGATCGTTAGGTTAAGTTGCGGACGTGCAGATTGTCGCGGAGCGCGTACGAGTTGGTCAGATCAATAACACGACCAGGCACTCGCATGCATGTACGCGTTTGCTACACACACCAATGTACACTTCTTTAAATCTTAATGAATTGGGATTTGATAACCAGGGGGACTTACACGGGATACATACATCTCATAATGAATTACCGAATGGATCTAAAGGTCTAAACAATCTCCATAACTAAGGGGTATACCAAATATCAAAACCGCGGTGGTATAAATGTTGTCGATCCGGATATACACAATGTTATAATGTTATCAATCTCGGGAGCATTCATAATGCTATCATGTCCATGGGTAAAGAACGATTGCGACAACACAACCATACCCGATATCGACATTAAATTGTCAAGACACGGTGACAATAGGCGACAGGTGCTCGGTAACATCTTAACATCCACACACAACATGTAACACTAAAATAATCGATTAAAAGAGAACATAAATAAGTTAAAAATTAACGAAAACAAAAATAAGTAATTCTCAATACTGGTACGCATAAATAGATACCTTAAAAGTTTCTAAATGAATTTCTTGGTCTCCTTGTTCTTGTGTTCGTAGTCCAAGAGCTGTTTTGGTTTGATCCCTCCTGCTTTCATGGCTGGACAGTAAGAACTGAACAATTTGTCCCAGTGATTGAAGAACGGCTGGAAGTTAGTCGTAGGCTTTAGGTGGTGCATGTCGTGTTTTGGCGCACCGCCGATGACCCCGAAAGGAAACCAGTTGTGGAGGCAGAAAGGTAAATCAAAGCCGATGTGGGCCTCCACACTGACAACGATGCTCACAAGCATGTAAGACCAAATGGTCAGAGGATGGCAGTTGAAGAACCAGGTGTTAGTAGTTGTGAGGAACCCGACTGTAATCAGCTCCCACGGGTGCAGGTACTGGGTTACCCAGCAAAAGGGGCTGTGGTACCGGTGGTGCACTGCATGGATATGTTTATACAGGAATCGGACGCGGTGGTGAGTCCAGTGCCACACGTAGTATTGAAAGTCGAAAACCAGCAGGCTTGCTATTTGGTGCCACATGAACTCGAACAGGGAGGGTGCAAGTTCGGGCAGGTGTGTATCTGGTGTCCACACCCACTGGGATACGGCGGCAGGGAGGATATACACGACATGGTTCCAAAATGTCAAACCCAAGGTATCGAAGATCTGCGAAACTGTTACCTCCTTGTTCGTCTGCAATTTAAAACTTTGTATCCATGTCCATTTGTTTCCGATTAAGTCGACAATCATAAATGGAGTACACAAACTGAAGTAGAAAGCCACCGAGAGAACAACCGGGAAGAGGGGGGAGCGAAGGAACTCCTCCCTGCCTAGCCGTAGATCCCAAAGAGGCTGCAGTATTCGAGCATTACTTTTGCCGCTAGTATTCCACGAAAGCAGTCCGTCTGCTAGACTCTCATTAATAAATATCCATGTTTTGCCGATGTCGAGCAGACTACCTTCCATCATTTGTTCTCTCTGTCATGTGTGTAACTACTGCGAAATAACAAGGAACCGTTTCCAATAGCCTTCCCCTCTCTCCCGGTTGTATTGCTTTAAAGCTCGCATACACAGTGCATTGTCACTTTATACACCGGCTTTCCGCCGCCCGACCTTCCCCTTCGTCATCGTTAGTCACAGGGGCCCGCCACAGGGCGGCATAGCGATCAATATAATCCATTGATAAAAGTTTCTCTACTTTAGGCTACAACTTGACCTTATTTCTGTATTTGTAACACCGGTATGTGTGTTGTATACCGTACTGACAATTTCGGTTAATGTCTGGTTATCCAGAGACAAGTCTCCCTTGTGCTCTAGTGAACACGTATAATACGGCATAATTATTTTAATGTTGACGATTAGACAGATACCGATGATCGGCAATAGAACACTGTCACATTCTTATATAATTACTTAACGTATATCTCTGCTATTACTTGTGAGTATATAACTGTTACATATAGTGTGTATTATATAGTGTTGGACATATCTTGGAAGTTTAAAAAAAGGAGACTTATAAAGCCTTTTCTAATTCCTATGTACACGTGTCAATAAGATTCGTCATCAAGCATGCGATATGTTTATAACTAGTTTCCTGTCCAGGGCCGGTAAAATGGTCGCTGTTGACAAACATTTCCTTCATCTTATTATAATTACCAAAGCTCTTATCATTTCTAAGATATTTTATGTCGAGTAAAAATTTAGAGAGGATTTAAATAGCTACGTGTCTTACTTACATTTATGCAGCTGTATGTATACAGGTCATACTCTGGTGTTATTTTATAAATATATTTATTGTAACTGGCGAATACTCATCATTAACGGTCGTTTCAACTCACAGAAACGCGTACATAATTGTAACACTTTTATAATTGATATGCTATTTTTACTTTTCATCACAAATTCCCGCAAGTGTTTGTAACATATATTATTAGCACACTGTGTGACTTCATTTTGCCTTAATAACCTGCAGATACATCTATATATCTTATTTCTTATTTTTATCATGTTTTGTTTCTAAATTGTGAAAGAAAACAACTAATCGGACATAATTGTTATATTGTTTGATTCCTTTTTTTTCTCTCTCTCTCTCTTTTGTTTGTTTAGCTTTCATAATTGTTTATTTTGTAAAGATTCTACAAAATAAATATACACATACTACATACTAGTTTCGATCTTCCCTGTCATCATAATCATTAGTGTCATCTGACGAAATATTCTCACAATTATCTGCAAAAAAATAATCCTCGTCGTCGTCGTTAGCTACTCCAGCATCAATATTGTAATCTACAAGACAAACTGTTATCAATCATCTGCATCTTCAACATCAAAAAAAAAAAATTCACCATAGTTATGTACCGTTCATCATCTCTTAATTCCATAGTAAAGACTCCTTATAGCTTAACATATCGTCATCATCATTCCGTGTTTATCGTCCTTTATTGTTTCAACATAGCAAGATATATCTTTATAAACAAAATAAACGGCATAATTTCGCTATATTTATTAAAAATTTGTTTACATTCACCAATTTAATATAGTACATGTACTTCAAGAAAAGGAATTAACACATTTTAGGATATACGATGAGAAACCGTTTTCATTCGTTTAGTGGTACATGTATATTTAAGTACATGTAACAGAGAAATCCTGGTTATTATTATATTTATCTAACATTTTTACAGATATACACCGACATTACACAGCCTACAGATTTTGTTCATGCATTTCAACTTGCATACTCTCACATGTACGTACAACTTGAAACAAAGACAACGGTAGATACGTATACATTATTAAGAGATGGTGAGACAGAGAAACGTGTAGAGAGAAACACTATGATTTAGCTTGTTTATGTATTATTCCATGTAGCTATATAAAATGTACTAATACAAAATAGAAATAACAATACAAACATGCACATTTGAATAAAAGATGAAAGGCAAAGATATTGTCTATGGGATTTTTACAACTTTGAAAGTAAAAATTCTGGAGATAATGAAGATGGTCCAAATATAAGTTTATTATAATAACTTTCTCTAGGTCGGTGGGTGATTTCTGGAGTATCCAAAAACACCCGTACAGTCCGAGCTTAGGTCCCAACTGATGGTACAAATATAACCATGTCGGTAAATAAATTTACACAATAAAAATAGAATTGTTAGTTTGAGTGACATCTGTCATTCATAGCAATTGTCCTTTGAGACCGAGGCCGTACCCGACCAGGTAAGCCAATTTTGCTGTCCCTTGTCCGAGACTAATCGTAGTGTCCGACCTGGTAATACCAGTTAATCCTGTTACGTAATAGAAATAAGTTAAAGGGTATATGGTATACGATGAACAAAGTAAATGCATGAGTTCATTAATCTGACATCAATGATTGAAACGAATGTCACATGTCGACTTCAAAGGTAAATCTTCGTAAATAGAACTTATCTAACTTGACACATTTAAGGAGGGTTATTGATACAATCAATTTACATAAAATGGTATCGGCATATTATTAATATTATTATTATGTCACACGATGGAATAAATTGAATGTGAAAGTTTGTAGTTCGAAATACGCCAAATAACGAATAAAATGAGATATTAAATTAAAGTTCAAATTTTGCACTTTTATCATAAATTTCTTTATGATACATGTAGGATGATGAACTTATATTTCTGTCATTCACTGTATTAGATTTGTTCAGCACTGTCGAGATATACAATAAAATTAACTGTTAAATGTTTTATTTTCTCCATTCGTTTTTGGAATTTTACTTTAAACGTGTTAATTTTGCAGTTTAAAAAAAATGGTTATTCCATATAATGTTCACGATAGTATTAAATTTTAGGAATTATGTCGACATCTTGTTTTGTAAATGTCCGTTCATTTGCTGTGCATCCAGACATACTGACATTTTACCTCATCTGGGCGTCACTTTTCATAAAAAAAATGTCACTTGTTTTTAAATTATCACAGTGCACACCTTTATACTTCATGGTACTTCTCGAAGATTTAGAAAACAAATTGTAAACTTACATTAAACTAAAGGTGCTTTCTGTACTGTAAGATAACTCGACTTTAAACCTACGAACAAAGAGGTATTGATTTTAACAATCACGCTCTGTGTCTCTAACTTCATCAGTGGCCATTGTGTAAGTTAATATGTTACCAGCAGTCAGACCTTGTCAGGCCTAACTGCCCACATTGTCGTTTCAGGGCGAGCAAGGTATGCAGCGTAGTGTGTACCTTGCTTTATATTTTTTCAATGTTTTCTCGAAGATTCTATTTCGTAGGCATAAAGTGATACATATATACTGGAACTCCCCCTTGGTCAATTCCCTTTTATTTTCCTATGAGGCTGAAAAGCTTAGTAGACAAGTAGCAAATCACTGAAAAGTCATTTAATTGAATAGCAATGAATTTATTGATATACATCAACCGCTTACCTATATCATACGACATGACTAACATGGATGGCTTACGACTGAGCTCTATGTTAAATATGACGATTTAGCTTTTCAATTCATGAAAGTTACCTTTCTTGGTGTTAGCATCCCTGCTTATTGAGTTATGTCGGAGAAATTTGTAAAACAAAGGGTTTCGGGAGATGCAAGCAGTCTATGAAAAAAAAAGTGTTGTCAAGCAGAAGATGCTTACCTTTATTGAATACATGACATTATCTCCTTGTTTTTTAAGGGTCTCCGTGTAATCGGTCCTTTATTGATATTTTACCAAAGCTTTATCGATTTTTTTACGCTTAAGTATTCTATTGTTTCCTGCTTATTAGTTGAAACTTCAGTACAGTTGTATGTTCATTTCCCATTTTTGTTTTTGTAAATATGGTATCGGCAAAAGTTTATTTGTTAATATGTAAGATGTTCGTATCACCAGTATCAGGGTGTGGGAACAGGGTCATTAACAGAGCGGATTGTAACTGATACTAACGATATAGATGTATAGATAATTCAGAAATCTCCAAAAAAAGACCGTATATTATAAATGCCGCACTCGAAGTACACAGTTTAAACCCATGGTAGTTTTCTCTTGTTTACTTCCTTTAAGTCTTCTGTTTACCTTATCGAATCATCTTATTCAGATCATTTTTTGTATGTGTTTTACCATGAGCATATATCTTTGTTGTAAAGTTTATTAAGGTACTGGCCAGTATGTGTTTATTCATTATTGATCTATATTTTCTTTCATCATCGGAGTTCCCGTGCTTTGGTAACAATTCACATACAGAATGCCCCGGGTGACACTAACACACATCTCACCACGTCTGAATTATATATGAAATATTTTACTATCAGAACCTTGACATGTTCGTTATAGATCGTTGATGATCGACGGACTTTAATTTCAGATCTATTTATGTTTTGTTACGAGTTACTAATGTCACTAATGTTAACGAGCTAGGTAGATGTTTGTATTGTATATTATTGGCATTTTGACATACCAGTATATAAGTTATGCGGTCAATAGTTGTCAAAACACAATGTATACGATACATAGCACAATTTCCATTTAAATATACAATAGAGGTATTCCAGAGAAATGCTGTGTTGTTAAGCTTCTAAGTAAAAATGCTGAGAGGTGCCCGCTTTGTTTTCAGCATTAAATGAGTCGGAGATCACCGGTACATTAGATAAAAATGCACAAAAGCTGGGTAAAGACCATTTAAATATTAAAGTAAGGATACGCTTTATTTGCTTTCCAGTTTTAGGTGGGTCATATTATGTTTCCAACTAAAACGGATGAGTGTAGACTGTTCAAAATAGAAATTCGGTTACACCCAATAAATCATTTCCTGTTATTGACACATTCAGTAGGTGAGATAAGCGTGTGCGCGTGAATCAGTTCGATCACGTAGGCCCCCGATACAGTACTTTGATGTTAAAGTTTACTGCACTTAACCAAGAAATTTTGTTCGCTTACCAAATAACATAAATTCTGAAAAAGTAATTGCAATATATCATGCATTCACATACCTCCAAGGATACTGTGAATCAACTTAGTTTCTTCAGTTCCGCTGTTGACTGTTTTTATCAATAATTACTTAATTACAATCAGTAAGTGCTATTAATTTCTTTTTTGTATTTTTTTTTTAATTGTTTCATATTTGCTTCTCAATTTTTAATTTGA